TAACACGGGGACTCCCACAGATGGCGTTGAGCTTGAATGGGAAATCGGGAGTCAAATGGCTAAAGCTTGGGTGTGACACTAGGCGAAACAACTAGCTAGAAACTCGCGCACACCACTAACAACGCCAGACTGTGCCCGGTTTTTGTTCCATCAGAGAGATGGAGATCCGAAATCTGGGCCCGTCAAATTTCTGACCCCCATCAGCCTGAAAGAACAATGAAGATCGTGAAATGGAGAAGTTACTTAGCCAAAGTAGGCTTTGATTCTAGTCTGGATTGCGCCACGACATCCTTTCATCCCAGTTATTGAGCATGCATCGCCAAATTCATGACAGTGCATTGGAAGATTCCATCTCATTATCGATTTTTCAGTGGATTTCACTCTTTTGTTTCCTGTATCGTGCTAGTGAGCTAGGCAACTGACTCATCTCAACGATATTAATCGTCAATGTCGATCGATCGCTTCATTCATGGCGAGGATGCCACAGAAGCATCCTCTCAGTGTCCGTTCTGATATTCTTCGAATATTTTTTCACTCAGATCCTTTTTTAAGTGCGTTCTAGTTTCTGTTCCGGATGTCGCGAGTTCGAACCTGTCGTTTAGACAGATAGCATCTCCCAGGTCCAGTTAATTGGTGTTTTGATTTGGCCTCGCCATCTTTACCGATTGAACATTATCACCTCGTACCGTAAAACTGACTGCCAAGGACGGCATAATGACGGTAGTTTCTGGAGATCTAACCACGCTGCCACCGAAGTATTGTTTTATAGTGCTTCCACTTGCCAGAGCTTTTACTGATGAACTACCAGAAGCAGCCAAAGGCTGCTTTCATAGCCGGCTGGCCGGCGTGCCGGCGGAGGCAGTGCTAGGGGGAGGAGGGAGGTAGACAGATAGGCAAACAGTCCACGCCCCTTCGAGGGGTTGAAAACAAACAACCCTCGAAGGGGCGTGGACTGTTTGCCTNAACAACACCATAGTAGGCTAATCAGGTTTTTATCCAGTTCTGTGTGGAAGGCTAGAACATTTACTTTTACATCGACTTATTCCAACAAGTCATTGTAAAGGCTAAAAAAGCAACCAGAACACCCCTGCTAATTTGACAAGAAATCGAGTGTGTTGGCACATCCAGCATACGGGACAGGCCCATGCACTAGATTTCATACGAATTAGTAGCGGCTTTATCTTGCCGATTTCATGTGACTTTCAATCAAACATTGGTATTTCTCACTTTACTGGACTTACGCATCTCTCCTGTCTAACTCTCCGAATTCATCTGTTATTACTTGCTCAACATTGCTGAAACCACCAGTATGACTAAGTTTTTGCAGCCACTACCGATCATAATCAAAATTGATTTACAGCGAAGTAGTGTCGATGTCGCCTATCCGTCTGCAATTTCTCTAATTTACAAGTCCGTTTTTTCGCACGTAGCCAGTATCAACTGAGTAGCAGTGATTTGTTTGGGTAAACTGTGTCAGAGGCTACCCGTAAGACGAAGACCACTTTCCAGGTCAACCATTAGTCAGTGATTGCGCAAATCTTCCTGGTTATTAAGGCTAGTTCTCTGTTCATCATTTTGACTTCAATGTGATGTGAACTCCTTCAAAGTTACACTTCCCTTTCCTCATATTGAAAATTGAATACTATTATATTTATACTGCATAGAGAGAAAAATTTGAGTGATCGGCAGTAAGGAATACAAGACTCGTGATGCACGATCAAACACTTAGTGATGGCTAGGCTAGAGCCCAATTCTGCTTCTCGTTCCCAATCCTGTGCATTCCACGAAACCTCCTGTTTACTCTTTAATCAGCTAATTCTCCATTAGGTTAGGCACGGTGGATTTCCAAGTTTTATTCCAAAGAAATCAGGGGAATATATGCGGGTAAAGGTGCGTATCACCTTCTTCAGCTCTGATTACTGCCTGCTGGAAAGGATGTGGTGTAGATGATCGGCCTAGATAGACGTTGATGGGAAAAACTGATTGACTAGTGAAGTGGCTAACTGGTAAAGACATTTCCATTGCTATCGTATAGCAAATGTCACTGACAATCACAGTCTGTCTTCTGATTCAATTTATTCCCATTCACCAACTCGTACTTAATTTTTTCCCCTCATATTGAAGCCAATTCAAGATTCAAGTCCTCGTTTCTCGTTGGTTCAGCTACTTGATTTTTGCAGTCTTCATGAGTGTAGCTTACTGTGTACCATTTAACAGCACAGTCGCCGACCCAATGTGGGGATAATCGGGGAAACAGGTGGGTTAGATAAGTTAGGAAAAAACCTTAGGTTCCAATGCAAGAAAATTCAAAAGTTTTTTTTGAGATTCCGAGAGATTTTCACAATGTATCTGCAGAATCATCACGTTTTTCGCAACTATGTATCATCTGTTGCCTGATGCATTTTTCGCTTTTGATAGTTGCAGTATCGATTTCATGATGACATTTTCGTGCAAAATCGCTCATGTTTTTTGATGATGTGAAATGAATGGTTTGAATAGATGTGCTAGTCATTTTCGAGGTTGTTCCCGTTCACCGAAGTGATCGCTTCGATTTGTAGGGTGAAGCAGCTTTGAGATCGAGTATGTTGGGTGTGCTGGAATTAGCTTGCTTATACAGGTGAGTAGACATCTCTGATATTCTATAATGGATTTTTAAATAGTACTACTGGCTATGAAATTAACTAACCAAGAAATATACACTACCATTACAAGCTGTTGAAACGTGCTATTCGCCGAAATTGAGGTTTGATAATAAGGAATGAAGGAAAAAGTATTGGGGCGCTAATCAATCCCGTCTGAGGGATGTACGCAGGCATTCGGCTCACAATCAGAATCTAGTGGGGATTTCAATGGGTGGGTGATCAATTCAATAACTTGCGGTAGTCATCCGATTAGCAAGTTAGTGCTTTTACGTTTCCAAACGAGTCTATTCTGGTACCAATCTACCTATTCTGGAGAGATGGAGGGCTTGATCGGTCTGGGAGGACCCTGGATTCGAACCCATGGCCATATGTGTGTGATAGTTGCCACACTTGCCACCACACGCTTTCGCCCCGGTGTCATGATGATACTCAGGTTAGAATTGTTGTATCGAAGCTGGGATTTTTTCCTTTAATGAGCACTTTTAGCAAATTTTTATGTTATGGTCGTTGGTCATGATTGACCAAAAATTGAAAAGTTCGTGTTTTTGACGACTTCACCTTTCATTTGTAGTTTCCCAGGCAAAATTTTTACCCTAGCTGGACTCCTGCGGTGTATAGTGGCGATCCCAGGTCACTCACCTGCCTTGATTCTTAGATAGTTGTCTCACTGCTCGCCCTATCATACTTGGTTGTCTTGGTTAATTATCTCGCATGGCACCACGTCGTTCGGTTTCAATGCTCACAATCAGTTTACCTCACCGACTCCCCAAGTATTTTACATTGCTCTTGGAAACGATTTCCTTGATCCACTGTTAAACTTCGGAATTTTTTTCGTCTCCGACGTTGCCGTAGAGTGGCTTTTGAGATGCCTCATGAGTTAGCCCTCCGTCGAAGGGAGTGCTTTCAACAGTTTAGGAATTCTAGTTGCCAGTAGGGTGAGAACTTCGAGTAGTCCAGAGTAAACCAACTAGTTCAGATCATGGAACCGTGAAAGAGCACACAAATCCGTCGAAACTGACTTCACTATAGAGGAGGACATCCAGAAAATCGCCGGCAAAGCACGGCTCTGTCCGAGAGAGTACTTTTCCGTAGGTGTCTCGAATATTTCAGTTCAATTTTCACTCGTAACACCTTTAAGAATTGTACATTACGACATGAGCACTCTAGTAACTCTTTTCAATGTCATGACCCTCCTCAAACTCTGAAATCCCTTAAAATTGCTCTTCCCCACATTTCAGCTTGAATCCATAATGGATGAATTCCAATTGTCCAATGAAACTCTGCGGCGGTTGATGACCCACCTGAAAAACCATATGGACAAAGGCCTAAAAGGCGGACTGAAGGTTATTCATCTTTTTCGTTGACGAATCACACTTATAATGTTGATTATCATCATCTATCACGAAGTATCACTAGTTATCTTTTATGAGGCGTATTCTTATGAGGAGTTCTAAGTAAGTTTTTTCCCGTTTTGAATGAAGATGATGAAGTAGGAAATTACTACTTCAGATGTCCACTCTTGCAATGCTGCCTTCATTTGTACCGGAACTGCCAGATGGTACTGGTAAGTTTTACCCAGTCTTTGCGATAATACCATGGTGAACCATTGCTGTAGTTTATAATAATGGCTCTGTTCCATTACTTAATCCTCTTATCATAGCTTATATGTTCAGAGCGTGGTAAATTCGTTGCTTTGGACCTGGGCGGTACGAATTTGCGGGTAATGACAATGGAAATAGAACCTGGAGAACAGATGCGAACGGACCAGTATAACACCAGCGTACCGAGTGCGGTCATGCAAGGCACTAGTGAACAGGTATCTGAAATTTCAACTTTTATTCAAAGTTCATTAGTGGGTACGAGTAGCACCCATTAAGTCCAGTTCAGGGGAGCAATAACGAAGTTAGCCCGTACAAGTACAGTCACCGGTCAGCCAATGTTTATCTGGGTAATAATCTCTCTTCACGTGAGACTCAGATCAAGTGTTCGATTACAGAAGGGTGGGAGAGTTGATGTGGACTTATGGGGCCTCTGGCTTCTTGGTTGGCCAGGAAGGATATCAGTTCCGATTTGGTCCTTGGACCGGACACGTGTCGTAGCTCCCCATGGCAGTGCACACCCCACGGCATTTGAGTGGGAGTGAGTGGAAGTTGAGGCTATGCAATTATATTGAGGATATGTGATAGCCTAGAAAGCAACTAATGATTAATCCGAATAACTCTTTTCTCTTTCCAGTTGTTCGACTACATCGCAAAAGTGCTCGGAGATTTCTTGGTAGAGAAAGGGCTGGCTGAGGAAAATCTACCGCTCGGCTTCACTTTCTCTTATCCATGTCATCAAACGAGTATAAGGGCTGCTACCTTGTTGCGGTGGGGATCTTCACAAATATTACAAAGCATCAAGAATTTTTTTCTCGGCATAGAACTTCAATACAGTACTGGGATTGTGGAATTTCTTTTATTTACATGACTGCAAGGCACTGGGTTTTTTAAAGAATGCATTTGAAATTTGGGTATTAAAAAATCCCATGGACGGGATAATGCAGGATGTGAATCCACTTGAAGAGTCTACAATGGACGGCAAAAGCAACTTTATAAACTCGAATCACTAGGTTAGGATGAATCAGCTGAGTTAAGGTGGACGAAGAGCTTTACGACTACGGGAGTAATCGGCGAAGATGTGGTAAAATTACTGGAAGACGCTATTAGAAGAGATGGGGTGAGTCATCTGGTGAATTGTTATGTTTACGCAAGCGTTTAGTGATCTAAACATCATCATTTTTGCATGATTCCGAACATCGACAATCATAGGTCCGGAAGTCAGGTAGCATTCCACTGTCTGACTCGGGAAAATTTAATGTTTCCTCAAGTTGAATTTTTCTAAAGCGAGCTCTTTTAACCATTTCCGTTGCTTGAAAATTTTTATTACACTGTGATATAGGATAGTTTTTTACGCAAACCGTAGATTTACTGGATAAATTGCATTTCAGAGGGTCAAAGTCGAAGTGATGGCAGTGCTTAATGATACTGTAGGAACAATAGT